CTCTTCCCATTATGCTGAAGTTCTTGGGGATCTCAGCATTTGGCATGGAAAGAAGGGGGATGTAGGAGCCGCTATTGACATGGGGCTGCTGTCCAAGAAAGCATTCGAAGATAGTCACTACACCGAGACCGCGATGTATGGCAACATCCTCAAGAGCATAGGTATCAGCTATCATCGCCGTGCACAGGTTGCAACGCAGGCTCATACCCTGAGTGACCAGGCCAGTGTGGCCAGTGCATCCACAGGTTGTGAGGAGGACTATCGACTGGCAGGAGACATGTACGCAGAATCAGAGGCGTTGTTTATCCGAATCGCTCAGGACCGCAATCCGTGGTACCTCGACCTGTTGACCCAGCGCGGGAAACTGCTGGGCGAGGAAGGGAAGCAGGAAGAGGCCAGGGAGAAATTCTTGTTGGCCAAGAGGCAGTTCGAAGCACTTGGACTTCAGAAGAGTCCTCAGTACGAAGAGGTGCGAGAGCTTCTAGCCGAGGAGGATGAGGACTGCTTCTCCACCTGATTTCGCCTGTTCAGCCTTTTCAAAGCCGCTGCCAAGAGAGTAGCTGAGTGACTTTATTGCAACAACTGGCCAACAGGTGCCGCAAAAAAAAGCGCATGCCAGGGGGTCGTGTTAAAAGAAACGTGGTCAGACCAAAAGCAGCTGATGCAGCTTGTTGCAGGGGCTTTGTGAAGCGCATCTTGGAGACAAGCGTACCTTGGCCGCCGCTCGGGGCACCGCACGTCCAACCAACTCACCGGAACATTGATGGCAGACCGATGAGGGTGGCAGCCTTGGCAGCAGTAGCTTTCAGAAAGACCTTTTGACAGGTTGACCTGGTGTTGTAGTGTCAAATCCGCCATGTCTAGACACAGAAAAGCATAGAAAAGCCATTTTCTTGCTCGGTCAAGATCCATTGAACTGGTGGTTGGAATCCGAGGGTTAGTCCATGCTTAGTTGAATCGGACTTCGTTTTCACCGCACCATCACGTCCGCATCTTCCGGCTCACTGGAATTTGGACCCTCTCACAGCATCCGAATTGGGATCGTTTGCAGACAGCCACAGCCGCAAAGCATCACTGCACGACCAGTTGAGTGGATTGACCATAGTACGACCATGGATTCCCTCTGAACATGGTCGCTGGAGTGGCTTCGGCAGGCTTTTCACTGACACATCCGAAAAACAAACATACCACCGGGCTTTTTGGAAGATGCCGTGGGAGAACCGACGTGAAGCTGAAGAAAGAGGTGGTGTCGCGGGGGTGTCGCGGGATTTGACCGAGTGAGCAGATCGACGCGCGTAACTCTCGTCTCAGAGATCAAGTCGGCGTGGTTGTGCCGAACAGGGCGGATGGACGTGGACGTGGACCATCCCAGTGATTTCGACCACGTGCCCTTTTTTTCTTGGACCCGTCTTGGTTTGGGTTGCACCATCCACTTGGATGATCGAGCTGGGTGTGTCACAGTTGGAGCTGTCTAGAAAAATGTTGGGGTCTGTTTTCGATTGGTTACTGGTTGATCTCAGTGATACCTTAGTTGGTCGAGTCTCATCACTTGCTTTCTCTGCCTGTCCCCCACATCCCATGGTCTACCACTTCTACAGTGGTGCACTAGAGGTAGAAGTCCCGCACCTTTCGGGAGAATACAACTGCCCAGCATTGGGTGTTCTTCTCAGCTCGAGACGGTCCACCCAATCGCTCGCTCGCCCGGGGGACGGAAGGCCAGACACGAGGTCCGCTGTGCCGCTTATGCACCGTGGTGCCTGGGACCCAGCGGTGAGGACTACTGAGGAGCGACGGGCACCCAGCGGCACGAGCAGCAAACATCGGCGAACTGTTTAGTTGAAAAGGGCATTAAATGCCCTTCACAAGGGCACATCTAATGGCATTAATCACATCTTCCTGGACAAAAAACACCTATAGACCTGGACCATTCTTTGTCCCAGTGCCAGCTCCGCAAATATGGCCGAAGCTTCCCGCCTCCTGCGTTGGACATGTCCAACCATCCAAGCCCTTAGCCCTTAGCGTGCCTGACTCCGCGAGGGGTCTAAGGGTAGTGCACATCATGAACCTCCTCTGCGCCTTGGAGGCTCTTCCTGGCCTCGTCCAGTCGCGCCGAGGAATCACCTCTCGGCCAGTCCAGTGCTTTCGGCCGCTCGTCGATTTGAAGGGCAGGCCGGCGGAGTCTCTTCACATCATGTGTTCATTTAGACAATTTTTCATCCGTCTAGGCTAGCTAGGCCGTATGGCTGCTCTTGAAGCTAGGCTAGCTAGGCCGTATGGCTGCTCTTGAAATTAATAAAGAGTTGATTCTTATTCTTGTTGAGTGAGTCTTGCGCTGTGAGCTTGACAGGCTTGCGTGGTGACCGGTGGTGCGCAAGCAACTTGCTCAGAGATGACCGGGTCGGTATCATATCCCGCTCTGTAGAAGTGTATCAGATCCGGTGCCTCGGTGGCCAGGCCCGAAGGCCAAAGAAGGTCCACAAGACATCCCTTTGACACTGCTGGCAGTACTGCTGGCCTATACTGGATATGGATGGATATGGTTGATCGACAATTGAAGAGCTCCTATGAGCTGCTGTGCCCCTCTTTGAGGCATCAAACATGCGCAGAGTCAGCAATTATAGTTTGCAGTTGGTCGGTATTGGCATGAGGGCAGGTTTTCTTGATTTCAATCTTTTGCATCCTCAAAACTGAACCAAACACATCCTCTACTGCTAGTCAAGGAGCGTCTTCCAAAAAACTCTGACACGGGGTATGCTTTGACGGGGGGTGTCAGCTTCAACCCAGTCTTTTCTGACTGGTGCTCAGTTGGGAATGGGGGTGGCTGGATCCAGCCACCGGAATCTCTCTTGGTAACCTTCTTTCCTCCTCATTCACACCCCTTGCTTGCACCATACTGAAATCCTAGGGGGTAGACCACCAGGTTTCATCTACCGACAGCGCTGTCGGTAGCTGTCGGGATATTCATTCCCTCTTCATGCTCTAACGACGCTATTAGGGGCTCCTGGCATCGCTACGAACGGAGCGTTCGGACGCTACGAACGGGGCTCCTGGCCATACTACGAACGTAACTAAGAAGCTATTAGAAATTGTGTATAAGAATTTGCTATAGAATTAGAATTGAAATGACATCTGCCTTTTTCAAGCCATGTCGACTGCAAGGGCATTGGCTTTGCCATCGCTCAATCCTTGGCGAGAGAAGGTGCTCGCGCCGTGCCCGGACGCCCAGCAGCGACCAACGGGCTGTTTGGGGCTACGGTTCCAAGGGGAGACGGAAAAGCCCCAAACAACGGAAATAGCCCGCGGGAACGGCAAGAAGACAGGCATCTGAAGTAGGTGAAAGGCTCGGTTTTTTTGGGGGGGAAGAGATGTATATATATATATATATAAGTCATGATGTCGTCGTGCTGAAGATTGTTTGTTTTTGGTTCTGAAATCGATGGTCATTTGTTGGATGCAGTGGAGGTGAGGTCCCTCCTTCATCAACAACAACCACCCGGCCCTCTGTCTTGCACCACATGAACTTTCAAACCATGTATTTGTATTTATGCTAGCCAGGGAATGCGCCCCCCCTTCCTCTAGCCCGTTTTCCATGAGCATGTTGAATAGTTGACCCCTGCTCAGAGTTCTAGGTATTACAAATTACTGTATAGGCCATCTCCATCCAACTCCAGCGTGCATCTTGTCCGAGTGGGAAATGAGGCGTGCCAACAATGGCACCTTCGCCTTGTTGGCACCCTGTTTCATCATCAGGTGGATTCTTGACAAGCTGGACGGTTCACAAGCAGCAAAGACCATTGAGAAGGAGACCAAGGGTTCACCGACTTGGACGGTGCGGCCCGTTACTTGCGAGCTTCCGGCCGGGTTTCCGGGTGTAATCGGGTTCAGCCATGCTTGTTGCCCGTGACATCATGTGAGCAAGAGTTCAAGGACTGTATGAAGTGCACGTTGTGAGTTTCTTATCCCAAGGTTCGAGCTTCCGAAAACCCACGTCGTTCCCGGTTTCCGAACCCCAGTTTTCCGTACCCCAACCTTCCCAGTGGCCGAACCCCACGCTCCCAGTTTCCGAATGCAACGTTCATCCCAGCTTCCGAAAGCAAGCGTTTAAGTGTCCGGACCCAACATGAACTTAACCTGACCTTTCCGGCCGTGTTCCACACACAACCCAATCTTGTTCTGTGGCACATGCGTTTTGGATTGCAACTCTAATGGTGCAAAGGCTGGCCTGCATGGATTGAGTAAATCGCAAGCAGGACGTGCCCGGCATCATGACGAAGGCTTTGCAACTGGATTTGGCCGAGGAGAGCTGGGAAAGCTTCGCGGTCAAGGGCCTCTCAAGCTGTCAGAGGGTTGGCATATTATTTGTGTTTTTTGTGCGCATGATTTTGCAGATGATTTGTTCATTTTCACGTGGATGTGCTAGAGGTTGAGGAACCAGGAGGTTGACATTTGGCCATACACGGTCAAACATATAAGAACCTTAGCAGGCGTGCGCTTGAAGCATGTGTTCCTTGCACCACCGGTCTGAATTGTTCAAGGATTGATTGCTTGGAGGCCTGAAGCAATAATCTATTATTGTATGACCCCTGCACATGCCCACCATCTTGGCCACGTTGGTTGGTCTTGATTCTTCTGACCCTATCTATCTTGGACAGATACTACAGACACTTTGCGCAACGACTTTCAGCTGCAACTAGCCGAGCGATGCGAGGAGACCCTAGTTGTTGTCAATGAACGTCTTAGGTTCGAGTTGCGGTGTAGTTGCTCCGCCTCTGAAACATAGCAGAAGATCATATTCTACCAGTTTGGTCCTCTGTCAGCCTTTGGGTGTACGTTTTTCTCAGTCCACTGAGATCGCCCCACATTTGCACAAGATTTCCTTCCGTGATTCATCAGAGATGCCCTCCCAGGAAATCCCAGGAAGTCATATGTTTGCACAGATCAGCACATTTTTGCGCATCATCTGGGCGGCTTAGCTCGTTCATTCACTTGCTTAGCTCGCCATGGCGGTGCTGCAGCTCCGTGCGGTGCAGTCTCTTCGGGTCGAAGCGGCCAAGCGCCGTGCTGGCGTGCAAGGTCTCCGCGCGCGTTCGCGCGCACCGGAGACCGTGCCCGTGCCGGCTGAGGCCGAGGGGCGCGGGCGTGTTCTTCTTGTGCTAGGTGTCATGACGCTGAGGGCAGTGAGGGGCATCCATAAAATTGGTTTGGGGCTCACATGAATTATACAATCCAAATTGTAAAATACATACAAAAAGGGACATATAATAGTAATAATACATAAATCCTAAAGGGACATATAATAGATATATATATATATACCTGGAGCCTGAGTGACCTCTATTTTGGAGGATCAACTATCCAAAATATGGTCTTTTCCTATCAAAGCAGAGGTCAGTTAGGCTCTAGGTATATATATATATATATATTTTGTTTGTGATCTATTCAACTTCCCCCTCTTGGGAGCCAGCGCTCGGACGGGGCAAGCCGGGTTTTCCCATGCGCCGCGTGCATCGGTTTTTCCGGTTCGGGGACTCCCGCAAGAAGGCCAGACCTGGACCTGGGGGGGGGTCAGGTTTCCAGCGACGCGGAGTCCGACACTTGGGTCGTTCTTTGTTTCAGGTGTTGACTTGGCCTCCCATCGAAAATGGGTTAGACCCCGAGTTGGCGTCGTTTGGGCCATTTTGCCTCACGAAGTCCAAGAAGCACGCGATTCGCGCGCCGAATCGTGTGCAACGCCTCGAGGCGTTGGAGGGCACGGTTGCCGAGTTGGCCGAGTGGTTCGATGCTCAGAGTGGTTCGATGCACACGGGACGGGTCGAAGAGAGACAGGGCTGCAGATGGCAGATCAGTGGATCGGGTGATGACTCGATGACTTGGTTTCTGCTTCGGATTGCAGATCAGGGTAGTTTGATCCACTTTGTTGCGAATTCATTCGCTTCACCAAGGGTTGGAAGAAAACAGATCGGGCTCGACCTGCGGAGCTGCGGCCGTTCTCCGGGGCGTTCACCGGAGCCGATCGGCCGTGTGCCCAGGCTGGTGACGGAAGGAGGCCTGGCCGGGCTGGCCGGGGCCGTGCAGCTGGGAGTGGATGGCTTTGCATTGCTCCCACAGGAGCCTTGCTCCAAGCTTCTCAGGAGCTCAGATGAGATCATGGCACCTTGGCAAGGGTGGCGGGGCAAGTTGCCGACCTCGCGCAGGTGGGTGGTTGGTTGGCCCAATGCATGGGAAGCTGAGCGCTTCAGCCGTTTGGAGAGGAGCCTTTTTCTTCCAGTTCCTTCCCCTTCCTGTAGGAGTAAAGAGATGCCTCAAAGCATTTCAAAGCAGCATCATTTTACCAGGGGCTGTCTGAGGAGGGATGATGTTGACAGAGGCATAATTACAGCGGTGAAAGGCCCACAGAGCTGGCAAGGGCATACTGTGGTGCAGCTAGGGCTAAGGATTGCCTCCACCTATCCTCCAACATGAGGATCGCCTCCAACTCTGGTGGCTTTTGACCTGTAGGTGGTGTCTGTGGCGCCATCGCGCCATGCGTGCGCACGCCGGCAGCGCACGCCGCCATCACCGTCAGGTCTGCTCGCCTCCGCAAGCCATCGCTGATGCTGCAGGCGGCGCCACGGGCTTTCCATGGTCCAACAATGGCAGGAATGTTCAAGCCTTGTGCCATGGTGAGTTCCTTCCCCAGCAGCAGCAGAGAGTACTTCAAGACTTCTTGTTTGGAGTAGTTCATGTTCAGGCTGAGTGCATTCAACTAAAGGTGTTTGGAAGATTTTGAGGAGGCTTAGAACGCCACTGCGCCCAGCGTTTGAACCAACTGCGGGCATCATGATGTGCCTTGAAAGTATTGTTGCTCAGATTGTGCCATCTGGACCTCCCTTGAACAAAGTCCAGTCGATGAGAATCAACGAGGGCCCTTGGAAAAGGATCAGCGATCCGTGAGGAGATGCCGCTTGGCAAGTGAGGCAAACAATCATTCACATGAGACCTGAGTGTCTTCGATGGCGCTTCGTGTCGTCTGCGACGCCAGCCACTGAAGAAGCGCCTCCCAAGAAGTCGAAGAAGGGACCGAAAGCCATCGCCGATGCGCCAGGTGCGGCGTGGTTGGCGGGTCGGCTTGGTGCTGTGCGTGTTCGATTCGCTCGCGAATCGAGCTTGCCTCGGTCGTTGGAAGGCTTCTGGATGTGAGGTGAGGTGAGATGGTGCTTTTTAGGGCCTTTTAGGGTCCACGCACTCTTGGCAGAGTCAACAATAGGCGTCCTGATGGACAAATGATCTGCGCAGTCTCCGTCCAGGTGCTCCGCTCGAGGAACCGCGGGAGAAGCCGAAAACCATGCCTGCCCCCGAGCCTTTGCAAGGTGCGACGCAGGGCGATGGAGAGGTGCTTGTTGATCCTTCCATAAATACCCACCGGTTGGATTGTTCAGAAACGTCGGCACTTATGTCCCGAACTAAGGCAAAAGCCTTTGGATGCGCGGGCCAAGAAGAATTCAACAGCTTATGGTGACATGTGAATACTAAACAGCGTCTCTAGTGAAGGTCAGGGCAGCACTATTTCACCTCCACAAATATTTCTAGAATTTTCTACATTCAGCAGATGTGTGCAAGCTTTTCCACAGCACTCCACAGCACACCGAAAGCATCCTATAGCCACTTTTCTTCGCTCACTTCCTGCATGAAACATCCGCCGTGGCACCAGGTGATCGCAGAAACACCTCCACGCCGCAGCGGAAGACGCGGCCCCCCAGTGACCTGGAAGAGTTGCTCCAAGCACAAGAGCGAAGGATTCGCGGTCCATTCCGTGGGCTCCGAGCCAAAACGAAAAACGATCCCCAAAAACGTCGTCCAAACACGAAGCGGGGTGGGTGGTCTGTGACCGAAAGGGTCATTCAAGGAACGGGGTGGGTGGTCATTTGTGGGCCCAGACAGCCTTGTATTGTGAATTTAACATGGCGTGATAACTATGATCATTGACCGTCTCACACCTGCCACGAAGATCAGACTTAGTTAATTATTTAATTCGATCCGCCGCTGGCCTTAAAGTGTGACAAGCATAAACCTTTGTCTGCCTGAAGTATGTTGAACTTCGACGGTCGAAGCAGGCTGAAACTGTGCACAGCTTGACAAATCCTTTCTCCATTTAACGGCAAGTCTTGGGTTCCAATTCGTTGACATCACTCACATCGCTCCTAATGTGATTTGTCTTGTGCTCATATCCTACTGTAGTTTGTAGGTGAAAAACAGGAAACCATGGAAAGCCGTGTAGGAACTTGCCAAACATATTTTGCCAGCAACCAAAACAAATTCGCAGCCGCTGTCGCTCGTGGAAGAGGACTTTTGATCGAATGAACTGAACCTCGTGCTGTCAGTCATCTCATTGCAGGATTCAAGAGCTGGAGGAGCAGAACGCGTTGCTTCAGAGGAGCTCCCCCCTTGTGTGGGGCGACAACACGTCGGACTTGCAGCAAATGCTGGGCTTTGATATGGCAAGACCATATTATGTGGGATTGGTTTCCAAGAAACACTTAATTTCCAGGTACGTTTTGGATATATTACTGTACAGTGTCGGGTAACTTTTCTACAGCCTCATTGGCCGCGAGATGTTGGACCGTAGGCTTTGGCCTTCAAATCAAAGCCCCAGTGTCGCTCTCATTAAAACCATCTAAGGATTCATAAGGATTCTCAGGTTCCGATGCTCCAAGGATGCTCATCCAGTCTTGAGACTTCGGGCTGTTCATCCATGATGCCCCAGGTGTTGACACCACTTTCGACCGACCCGGCGCAGGAGCCTGGACGCCCGCGACTGTAGTGAGACGTCAGGCCGTGCGTGGGCGGCCGTGGAGGTGGGTGAGCTGCGAAAGGGGCAGGTGATTTCCTATCAGCTGGAGACTTGGAAGGAGATGTGGAGGACCATCCAGGTCATTTGCGGGGCTTTTCTTTCATGAGCGATCACTATCTATTCAGTCTCTGCCCATCCAGCTCAGCAACCCGCTGAGTACTCTCTACCGGTGGCCGGTCAGCGGGGGATTGGTGATATCCATGATCCATGTCCTCGTCCCCAGACAAGCTGCTTCGAACCGTTACGCCGATACGCCGGCGACAAAGGAAATACAGGCACAGAGGTCATCCCCGCGCCCCATGGCACAGCCGAGGATTTGATCGATGCCTGGAAGGGCTGCATGATACGATCTGCTCCCAAGGTCTCTTGCTTGATGGAAGAGGTCCCGAGCTCGCGACGAAAGCGGGGTGAGGCACGAATCATGGCACACAAGGGGAGCGCCAGATGTTCAAGAATGAGACCTGCTGAGAGATCATATCGATGTGATGCGAAACAAGCAATCGATGTCCTCAGTGCCCAGGGCCAAGATAAACACTGTGTGAGGGCTAAGGATAGTTCATTGAACAATTGGCTGAAACTGGGAGTTCCAAAGGGGGTGGCTTCTAGACCCTAAAAGTGAGTGGATCATGGCCCTATCCTCCAATATGCTTTTGGAGCATATTTCTACAGTTCTGGGGAGTTGCTAGTCGTTTGCGGTGCTGATCCGCCCCTCTTTCAAGTGCCCTCGACAAGAACAATTTCGTGGTCTCCACCCCGGCTTTTGGCGAACTGGTGGAGGTGGCAGTAATGAAAACCTGGCCCATCCTACTGTTGATGGAACAAAGACGTTGACCTGGAACCACCAAGACACTGCAAATGATTGGATATCATCCGGCAATTGACCCGATTCCCCCTACGGATCCGCACCTGGAGGTGCCCACGTCTTGGCCTTACGACCCGACAGCTGGGCAGCTGGTGGGGTCGTGGATCGTTTCATCTCTCAGGTGGCGCTCATCACCAAGGTCTCCCGGAACACCTCTGGACCCAGCTTCGCCCTACGCTGCGAAAGTGGCGGGGTGGATTTTGTGGAGGGCTCCTGCCTCCGGAACGTGAAGAGGGCCAGCTGATTCCAAAAAGAGATCCCACCATGCCAGTATAGTGAGAATTTGTTCAAATAGGCGGGCTTAGTTCGGACATGTTCAGGATGCATGATTTGCACTGCGCACTTCCCGCAAGAAAGGGACACCGGTTTTGAGTTCTGGCCTGGCCTTAGGCAGGTCGTTTTATAGGGCCAGGCCTCCAGTGTCAACCTGGCTCGCCCAGCCTAGTCACAGTCGTGGTGGAGAAAAAGCCCTGATCGACCTGAATCGAACGACGCTCGTCGGTGATTCTACTGAGCCAGTGGTGCTCAGTCAGGTGGTGCATGCTCAACAGGGGAAACCCTCTCAGCGATGCACATGTTCCAAGGTTTCCAACAGAGGTTGAAGAACCCTATAGGCTATCCCATAGGTACCCCAGGTTACGGGTCCTATTTACGGTCACTTGACCTCTCTTGGTTGTGCCTCTTCCGGCGTCTTCTACTGGGCAGAACGCTGTTTGAGCTTGGAGGCAGTCGGCACTCCTGTGCCTGTGAGGCGAGTTGCTGAGGAAGTCTCGGTCGCACCGAACTTTGGGTCCTTCCAACTAACATGGGTTACGTGGAGTGGAAAACCACCTGCTTGTAGTGGATTTCATGGTCTTCCTTTCGGGGCCAGGACCTCCACTGCCCATCGTGCAGGAGCCAGCTGTGCAGAGAGCCGTCGAAGAGGTTCTGCGGCAGTGCGGCCGCATCGACGTCCTCGTGCAAGCGGCAGCTTGGGCCACAAACAAGGTTGGCAGAGGCTGGTTGCAGCGATTTTGGTTGATAGTTTGCATCTTGGAATATAGATGAATATAGCAACAGTGGGAGCATTCCTTTCAACACTTCGCGGGCACAAAGTCACTTTTGGTGAACGCCCACCATTGCTAAGTGGCAGTAATGGAAGAACATTCATAAATGCATTGAGAATCATTGAGACATGCACATACGTTGAGGACGAAAGAACCTTTGCATAGAATTCCTACAGAGGAGTTTCCACCCTGCACTAAAAACTTTTTTGATTTTTTTTGCTATACGTTCACTGCCGGTTAGATCCTTCGTCGGAGTTCAACGGTGATCCTTTCTAGGAGTCCAAGGGGCAACCGCTTTCTGGTTGTGCGACAGTATATGCTGTAACTGTAAAAACCCACTTTTGTCCTGTTTCAGTGTGTGCGTGCAGAAGTCGCAAAAGTCAGTAGCAGTGGCCATGGCACGGCCGGAAGCCGGAAGCCTTGATCGCTAGAGCTGAGACAGAGAAGTGGATGGTCATGGCGCCGGGGGGCCCGACGGTTGACCACAAGACCCAGATGAACAGACTGGTCAATCTACCAGGGTGAGTTGCGGGCTCCAGGCGCCATGATCCACCGCCAAGTGGTCAGCGGTCACTCCTCGGGGCCTCACCCTTCTTCACGGCCCGTCGAGCCGGCGGCTCGACCGCCCCTGAGCGACCAGCGACCCGCGACCCCAAGAGAGCGCTTCGGATTTTAGGCGGGCATCACCGGCAAGACCAACGTGAAGACCCACGAGGCGTTGGTGTCTTTTGACTTCTTCTTGGGCGCCGCGGCGCCGGAGCTCCGGTCGAGTCTCGTTTTCTTTTTGGGCGATGACGGTGGGGCAGGTGGATGTGAACGACTTCCAACGAGTCTTCGACGTGAATGCTGGGTCCCCAGCGCCTGTTTTTCGTGAATCGAGGCGTGCAGCTTGGCAGGGCACTTGGGCACTTCTGTTTCACGACTTGACGGTTTCGTCGTGCGGGTGCCCGTGCGTTGACACGTGCTGTAAGGTCAAAGCTGTGTTCCTGTGTGCCAAAACAGTTCTGTGGCCTCCTCAGCTTCAAAGCCTTAATGTGCAAGGCGAGGGCAGTGAAAAGAGGACTATTGGCCGACAGTTCTAAGGTCAATCCGGAAGAGACGTGATTGACATTCAAATAACCCAGCACCACAGAAGGTTCTTGGATGGAAAATACCTAGTCAGGGGTGTCCATAAACCACCTGAACTCCGTGGTACTGGACGTTTCTGCAATGTATGTACCCCCTCTCAGGCCCTCCATGCTGAAGGCTGGCTACGGCCGAATTGTGAACATCGCTTCCATTTCTGGCAAGGACGGCCAGCGCCAACAGAAACAGATGGTACCCCTTCTAACGCAGGGTCTCCAATTCAACCATGTTTGTCCGAGTGTCCCTTTTCTGGTATTCATTTGCATGATTTTCCACACGCCTTCTGAAAATTGGCAAGTTTGGAGCAGCAGTCAAGCAAACTTTGGAATGGCTGTAGCATGGATCTGAAGAGCCTTCAAAACAATACTCATGACTCATGTTAAATGAAGATGTCGGAGCAGGACCCATGACTAAGACTAAGAGTTGGATGTTGTGGAGTGTCAGAGTCAAAAGGCCAGAAGCTGCGACTCCCACTTTGCTCAGTTCATCTCTTTTGGTGTTCGAAGTGCTCAGACTCGGCAGGATGGAAACGCTGGGATGTTGGCCTATTCGTCTTCCAAGGCGCTGAGTTTCTCATCCACTCGGTGTTGCGCGAGGTCGAGAAACGAGACGGATCGCTACTGTGAGGCATTGTGGGGCAGAAGTTTAGTGGAAGAATCTCAAGTACCATATATTGGGATAGCCATTTGTCAATGATGTTTTAAAAGGGGACGACATCCTCCAAGCATGCGGTATAGCCTTATGTCTTGAAGATCTTGACGATCGTCAGGGGTTTCTTACAGTGTATCCCCATACAGATCGAGAGAAGCCTCAAATCAATTCAGAGATCACTTTTATATCGCCCAATGACCCAATTGTTACCCAAGGCGTCACTCCTTCGGGGGGATTTTTTCTCGCATGAAAGATCATTGCATTTCGCGCGGAAGAACATTCATGCCAAGCCCGACGCCTTGCTCATCCTCCTTGCCACAGCCTGCTGCCTTCCTCAAGGCTGCGGTGATCAATCTCACCAAAGTCATGGGCAAAGACTATGCCGCCAGTGGGAAGGTTCCGTTGTAGCTCGCGTCGTGCTCGGAAAACCCCATGGGCGGAGCTCGTGTCCTGTAAAATTTGAGGATGTTTGATGATGCACATGAGGTCCCCCGGCCCATGCACATCGGTGTGAATGGGATATGCCGTGGGTCTGTCGTATTACTGTAACAGTCGGTAAACGATTATATAATTGTCGTTATAGTTATTTTCGAGAAAAAACAATTACTAATCGTTATCATCCACTGTTGGTGGTAATGAAATGGGTATACCCAAGATCTGCCCAAGCGACAACCATTTCAGCCATTTCCCAGCCCATCGACTGCAGAGGATATCACCATCAACTGCATTGCCCCGGCGGTGGTTCAGACTGCGTTGGGGCGCCAAAGCTTCCGAGGCTGGCCTTTGGGATGTCCTTAGTCTACATGTCGAAGAGGTTCCTCCTACCAATCTGAGACCCCCGTTTCTTTTCCCGTTGGCGCGCACTCAAGCGTCTACTTGGTGAGCTTCTTGAGAGATGGAATCGGGTGACCACCTTGTGCACCGGGGTCGCTTTCATTTCGACTGAACTCACTGGGTCGTGGCTTTTGGAGGCTCTAGTTCTCTCCGGGGAGCATTTCTTCCGGTGGCAGGTGGTTTTTGATTGCATGCCGTAGCGAAAGTATGTGTGTATGTGTTCTACGTCTACGCATGCACACATATACATTTACATAATTACACACACCCTCACCCCTCTACTCTATGTGCCTTTATGTCTTGCCGATCGCAGCGCATGCAGACACGTGCCAAGGATGGTCGATGCCATGCCACCAGAGCAAGTGAAGTGACCTCAGGGATGAGCAAGGAAGGTCGATCTCAGTGGATGAGCAGATTCGTGGGACATGGGCCGTCCATTTCCTGATTTGGGGGGGTTTTTGGGGTGAACCCCCCGAACTGGGTGAATCCACAATCCACGAAACTGGGGGGAAGATGTTTTTGTATGTTTTTGTCTTTTCCAATTCTTGGACAGCAGCTCCAAGCACAAGTTTATCCAACTTCGCCTCAGCCGACCGGCTTTGAAACCCTTCAACCATCACAACCTCACCCCAGCACGGTGGCCACTCTTTCGTGTCCTTCTTCTTCTTCTTCTTCTTCTTAGTTCCCCAGGTACATGACTGACAAGATCCCAATGGGCCGGACCGCCAAGCTTGAAGAGGTGCGGAACGGCTTGGCGACCGCGCTTTCGGTTCCTCTGCAGGTCGGGTGTGATTTCTACTGCTGGTTTTCCTGGCTTGGCTTGAAGATCTTCTTCAGTTCAGCCAGTGTGAACCATTGGTGGCTCCAAAAGATTGAGTAGTCCTGGCGGATGGGGCAGAACGCCGGTGAATTGTAATGGTGAAAAGAAGAAGCCGAGGGGAGGTTTTTTCCACTATTGATCAGTGTTGCAGTCTTAAGGACTCGAGAAGTGTCCGCCAACTGTTTGACCGGTTTCATCCAGGCCTGGGTGGTTGAAATGCCGATTCCATGGGAGATGGGAGAATGGGAAGGGGCCTTTTGCAGCTCCAAACGATAGTCAAGTCATTCGGGCTCTTTGAGGCAATCAGAGCCGACCGGCCCCGAGACCCCTGAAGCAAAAAGATGAACCTCCTTCATGGCCTCATGGTCTTCGCTTTCATCCATTCCAGCCCGCAGGATGGAATCCACCTCCAGTTTTGGGGCAGAACCACAAGAAGGGCCCGAAACAGGGACAAGGAGGAGGTATTGATGCACTTCGTTGACGCCTTGGCATCATTTCCGACCGTCTTGGACCGAAATGGCCTGGAACGACCTTGACCACCGCTGCTGTGCCACAGCCCCACTGGGGCCCCCACGATGAGCTGCTTAAGAACACGCCAGGTCGCCGCCACCGTGCTCTTCGCCGCGTCCGGCGAGTGTTCCTTTACCACCGGATTTTGCCCGAGGACTCAGCTGGGTCTGACGGGTGGAAGATGTGCCGCTGACGCCGTGTTCTTCGCCGTCACCGGCGTTGCCGGGAGTCCTTGGACACTTCGGAACTGCTCCTGGTGCAAAATCGGATGAGCACCCTGGCTGTTCAGCCCTGGAGCTTCGATTCCTTAGCCGCAGGATTGCTCCTACAGAGCCTAGGGGCACAGCTTGGACAGAACCCCCCCTTAAAAACATCATGGAAGTGACAAATAGCCCTGTGGCCTGGCAGCCCAGAATGACTGAGTATTGGCCAGTAGCCGTTGCAGAGAATCAAAGGATACCTTTCCTCCCTGCGATCAGCACAAAAGAGATTGGGTCTACAGTTGATCGCCCACCGGCACTCTGACATCAAGTTGACTTCACTGTCAGCTGTGACCGCCAAATCTGTAAGCTTCCGACTTGCCCGTTTTTTCACGTTGCCCATGGTTAGCGTCTTCTCTGCGATCTCCAACTTCTGTAGATTCATTAGTGCCCTTCGCTCGGGCGTCGACCAAAACGACCACTGCCTAGGCTTTGATGCCAGTGGCGGCCGCACGGTCTACTGACCTGGCCCGGTCGACTAGGTCGGCGATGGACCGAAGCGTTTGGCTTCGAAATGCTTGAGGTCCCAAAAGACATAAAAAGACTCATTTTGAGTGGTTGCTGAATTGGCAGGGCTCAAAGTGCCATAGGGGCTGCAGGTTCGTCTTACTCGCGCTACAGAAAGAAAGAAAAGGTTGCTGAATTGGCTCAGCCATTTGGGTGTGAAGGACACCCCCCTCCCCGCCGGGCATGTTTCGTGCAATGGACCGGACCCGGATCCCACGTCGGCTTGGGTGGGGTCGTCGACTTGACATGGTAAGGTCTCACGCAATCATGGGACCTTATAGCGGTCCCCCAACGTGTTCGTTGGAGTTCTGACACATTTGTGAGACACACACTCACACACAGATAATATATATATATATTTTTACTTTTTTTTTTTTTTTTAAATATGCAACTGCCAAAACCTCCAATGAAGGCAGCATCACTACAGTGAAGACTAAGTGAGTAAAGACACATAAGAGGTGTTGCACGTCGCCCATATACATATATATATATATACATTTATATGTGGGTCCCACGCAGTCCTTCCAGAACGATGGGAGGTGGACGGAGGTGGCTGCCGGATGTTTTCATCCATTTCGATCTATTAGGGGGTCAATCTGTTGAGCCCAAACGGCACCCTTGTAGAAGCGAGAAGATGGTCACCCACCGATGTTTCTTTCTGATGGTGTGCACATTCAAGCACCGGAAAAGCAGCTCCTTGGAACAGTCCCATGCACTTTCCTCTGCCGTGGGTGACACGTGGGCAGTTCTTTTTTTTTGGCCCTCCCGTTGATGGTATAAGATTGTGAGATAGATTGCATTTTAACATGCAAGTTTTGTTTTGCACAAAATATATGTGGTTTTGTAAGCTTTGGGGATCAAGAAAGGTCGGGGATTGATTGCCGGCTGCTTGGATATCATGGAGGCAAATAAACGCATTGAGATCATACGTGCTTGCCAGACTGCATGCTCGCTGTACTACCACCTTCTGTAGGACGTTCAGCCTTTGATTGGCTTGGCTCAAGAACAGGGGCCTGCATCCCATATCAAACTAGGCAGGTGGCAACTACTGCACCAGCTTGCAAGCAAGAGAAGGGAGGGACTAGTGATCCACCAGCACAGTACATAACTTAACTGCCTTAATTGAAAAGATGGTGTTGGTGACACACTACGAAGTCCATTTAACATGGAGGAGTTTCATAGAAGTGGGTTGCACTAAAGACGAGGACAATACATGTTGGTAGGCATTTAAACCATCTTGGTTCTTCCCTAGGCCCATCCAGTTTGAGGGGATCACAGCAGCAAGCACTCCTTTTGACAAAAAGAGCTGGATGGGGCGGTAACGAGCGACGCAGCACGGGAGTCAGGTGCCTTGAAAGGGGATGACGGGCATGGCACGGAGATGATGTGCCTGGATGTGGATACAGCCATGCGCCAGGAAAAGTGAATCACCTCGTTTCCTCTTTCACCTAGAAATCCAACCAAGTAGCGATGGCCTCCCCAATAGCGATGGCCTCCAACCTGCAAAAAAGCAGGTTTCCCCCTTTTTCCCCGCTACAAACCCGAACAGGTTGAAAAAGGTTAAGTCTTATTTTTGGAGGAGAGGAAACTGAGGGAGTCGGCAACCCATTTGCTAGTAGAATGACAATGGACCAGCCATAGATAGGAGGGCAGCCGGCCAACATTTCTGAACACTTGCATCATTTTAGACCCAACCTTGTGGCTTGTAAGGGGGAGAGGATGTTCTCAGATTCTTAATATTGAGCCGGCTGAATGATATTGAGATTGTCTGCATATGCTTGCACGTTCCAGTCTTGGACCTCGCAAATGCGATATGATTCTACAAAAGCCTCTGCTTTTTCTCGAGGTCCGGTGCTCTTTTGCCCCGGCATCCGCCCCAGGCATCGTGTGCATGTGGCATCCGCCCGAGTCGGAGCACCCAACACCGCCCGTGCGGTGTTGGCCGACGCCGGCGGTAGGCTGTGTTCTGTGCTTGATGGGGTAGACCCGCCCCTGATTTCAGGCAAAGACTCCCCCCCGGACGTCAAACATTTTGTGTTGCCCCTCTTCACAGGGAGAAACATAAAGGCCATTGGAGTCGCCCATTTGTTCCAGCTCTATTGGAGTCGCAAGGGTTGCGGTTAATTTTTGCTTGGTGCCGGTTGATGGATTCAAGGTTTTGGAAGAATTCGAGTTTTAGAGGTGGGCGCAGGTCAAAGGCATGTAGCAAGATGCCGGAAGCATCGGTCACCAGGTCGCCCACATGGGCCGTGGATGACGGGCGGACGGATTTCCCTGGCCTCACTTGCGGCTCTCAGCTCCGACCAGAAAAAATGGGTTCAAACCGGTCCCCAGTCTCTTCTCCCTCCCGGAATTTCCGGTCCCAACCAGAAACAACCTTTCCCAACATGAACCCTATCACTTGCTGTATGTTTGTATTTTTCAACATGTTGGAACAACCAAGTTTGTTTCGTTTCTGCTTGGGACGGGACACCGAAACCGTCGTTGGAACCACGCCGCAAGCTCGACACCGTTGGGACCGAGTCGGTCTCCTGAGGTTCGGCTTCGATGGCCTTGCTCGGTCATCGCGACAGGAAGCTCAGAGCTTCGGTGTGCCGTCCAGAGGGTCAGACCCAAAGAAGGGGGTCTTTGATTCGTATCAACTTGGTTGATTATACATGTAAGCATTTGTAAGCATATACATATTATATATAAGAACTATATATTGAAACAACATAAATCTACATGCGCCATCATGCTCCGATTTTTGTGTTAGAGTTCAATCTTCGGTGAGAACATGTGAGAACCGAACACTCGAATTGGGCAATGACAATGTCAGCTGGTTTTCCACTGCGAAGGCGATGATTTCTGTTTGACACGCACGCTGGGGAACCAGCCCCCCCTCAGTTCCACTGCCGACCCGGGGCAGTTCGGGACGTCGTGTATGTTGGGGGTGTCCCAGGAAACCTGGAACAGTCCGCAGACACTATTTTAGAGAAAGGCCTCCACTAATCATCGTCCACAGGGAATTGTATGAGGGTAGTCTATTCACGTCTATTCCCCACACTATGTATGAGGCAGCTCGATCGGTCTATCCAAAACCCGATTTGGGTGACGCACTTTTTTTCAGACGAGCGCCCATCTTGGAGATGGATTCTCAGGTGACCCAGAACCATCTCCGCTTCATGGGACATTTGCTTTCCCAGCCCCAAAAGCCCCTCCCAGCCCCAAGGGCATAGCCTGCAAAACGACGTGGTCCACTAAAAGGAACACACCACAAGTCTTCCAATCGCCGAGGCCTGCCACGGCAGTCCACGCCCCCAAGCCGTTCGGCCAGGCCGCGTTTCGCGGCCGGGTCGGTGTTTCCAACAAAGCCTGCAGCTCCTCGATCTTGGGAGAAACAGACATGTCAGAATCCATCAGAACCCATCAGGCATAGCACATAAGAAACATAATGATTTGTATTATTGTTGTTATTGCTATTGTTGCTATTAGTATAGTTACTACGTGTTACTACATACATCATCATACACACACATATATATATATATATTGTTATTAATGCATATTATGTTCTGTTATTGAACTTTAACAATATATATATATATACTCATATAGATATATACACCATTATATTAATACATATATATATATATATACACACAGTATCTTTTCTTTCTTTGGGCGGGTGGTTCGGCCTCGCCGTCTCAGACCCCTCTGAACGCTCGCCTTGCTCGTCGCTCGGTTTGCTCGTCGCCAGGTCCAAGCTGACGGTCGACTCTCCGAGATCTGAGGCGCGGTTCGCGGGCGAACACCGGAGAGAGAGAGAGAGAGAGCGAGCATCGCTACTAGTAACTAGTAGCAAGTGCATCGCTACTAGTAGGAAGAAGCTACTAGTAACTCTTTTACAGTGGTCAGTGGGGAGGGAAGGAGTTGGAAGGAGTTAGTTCCCCCCCTCCCAAGACACCCGAGGTATCTTGGGATTCCTGATGGTTTCTCATTCCGCGCTAAGAATTCGTCAGATCACCTGAAATCCAGCAGGAATTTCGGGTGGTTCTGGGACGGAGACCAAGCATACTCAGGGGTGCGGTGATGGATTCGGTCTTTCGTATCATTTCGGGGATTGGGTGAAACCCCATGTTACCCTAAGCCAGAGCCGGTGGAAAGCTCGGTTACGGTTAACCTTTAAGTGAGGGAGCCAGGAGTTCGTTTGGAAAAAGGGCCATTTCAGAGTCTACTCCGACCTCGTCCCCTTCGGCCCCATTGAGGGCGATTCAGATCGACCACGTGAACCGACCAAAGAGGACACAGTTGAGACACTGGACATGTCGCAAAGACGTCAGACACTCCCCATCCCACGACGTTTGGGAGAGCACCGTCACGACGTTTGGGAGTTGGGGACCACCTGGAGCACTGGGAGCACATCCAGATGGATGTTTGCTCCAAGAGGAAGCTCCACATCTCCCAAGTCAATGAGTCGCAAGAGAAGTGGCTATGTTAAGATGGATAACAGCACTTTGAGCTGAGGGGGCTTGTTCATGAACTAGAGTCTTTAGATGCTCTGAAGATGGGCAGCGCTTCTGTTCATTCAGCAAGGTGCAACCCAAAGTATCTATAGAAACCGGTACCTTTCGTTCAAGAGCTCCAGTCTTTTTCACCGTGGCTGGACTCACACCCCGCCAATCTTATCGCTGTGACCTCCCCCTAGGGCTCCAACCACCACCCGCTTCGAAGATGGTTGGGGGTCTAACCACCTTCTGACGATATGGTTGGAGCCCTAGGGTCCAGTCATTCCTCTTTGTCACAGCGGATGTCGCCTGCCCGCGCCCACCGGATGTCGCAACCGCTGCGAGGCCAGACGGCCCTCGGGAGGCGGGCGCAAGCCTCTACCGAACCGACCCGGGTGGTAGAGTCGCCAACGGAGGGCAACGGACTACACCAACGGAGGGCAACGTGGGTGGAATTGAAGGAGGTACCAACAGACTACATGTTCGGTGCATCGATAGGTTCTAGCCTGAAAGGCCTTGAATTCATATTTCAGGAGCTGGTCCCTTTTTTATCCGCTTTTATCCGCTTGGCCATGAATGCAATGAAGAGAGCGCTCTACCGCGCGAAAGGCGCCCCAAAACATAACCAGGGTATGTATGACGTAGGTATGATCAGTCACACGAGTGGGATCTGGTCTTTTTTCCAGAAAGTTTTTATCCCCACATCCCAAAAACGACACCCTTGTGTCAAGTTGGAAAGGAGATCTTCAGGAAAAGATGTGAAAAGAGGTCCCAACAACTCATAAAACATGAGAAAGCGTCCCAAGCGATTCATGTCAAACTCCCACAGAATGTGTGTTGCTCAATGCTTGCCTCTTGGATTATTTTCTATGGAGCATGGGGTGGATCACAATGGGGTCTCTAAAGACACCCGCAGTTCCGAGTTTGTAGCAACATACAGCAACCCACTTCTCTCCATAGAATATCATACCATCATTGCTCCGCTGGCTTGGTTCAGCGAAATTATTGGACGCCTTGTTTTTTCGGGACCACATCTCAGATGTAGAGCTTCACAGGACTCGCACCAATGCAACTTTAGAGGTGGGGCCCATTTCAGGCGTGCCTTTAGAACCGGCTGGCAGCAAGTAAGCATGAACCGGCACAGCTGCCCTGGACGTTTGACCATTTGAGGATCTCGAAAGCTTCCCGAACATGAGGTTTGGCTACTCACAGGCTCCTCGGGCCTCCTTGGGGTCAATGACTGCAATGGCTAGCTCACTGAGGATCGGCTGCTCCAGATGGCATCGATCAGGAAATCCCTTCCTGGAGCCGTGTCCTTTCGCAGGTCCCCCGCCCAGTCTGGACTTGGTGAAGCTGGCCACGCGCGTGCCACAGGCGGGTCACGGAGGGGACCAACGGGCGAAGGCCCCCAAGGATACATCTATATAAGATCATATAAGACCCAACCAAGCAGCACTTCGATGCTACTTTTTCAAGTTGATAAATCACAAGATCAGGAAGGCAGAGAGACATGAGTGTTTTATGATGTGGCACATGTGTTTTGTTGCCTTGGGAACCAGCGTCGTGGGGGGTTGGCATGGCTTTGGCATTGCCATGTCTGGCAAAGCATGCCTTGCTCTTCATCCTTTGCAAAGCCTAGGCCCTAGGCTCTGACAAACGAATTTCCAATCCCCTACATGTCGGACTGCTCCAAAAACGGCTGTTGACAGCAGAAGTTCAGCACCAAAGATGGATCATCTTCCATTCTCCAGGCGCCTATGTCTTTGCTCCTCTGCCTTTCCCGATGTCTTCTTCAGCACCATCGAGTTTTCCATGCTTTACCTCGGGTTCTTTCCACCCTCGCGATCATCCGGTTGATGCTCATCCACTGCCACTGGTCCTGAGCGACTCGTGGGCGCAGGCATTTCCCCGGCGGCCCGGGAGTGCCGCGTCGCCACTCGCGACGCGCGGGCGCTCCTCGCCCAAACATGTGGAGGACTTCCAGTGGACCGGTTCCTTGCCCCAGACGCTGCGACGGGTCAGAGAAGTCTGCAACGCGTTGCATTGAAAGTGTTGCAGGTGCATCTTTGTGAGGTTTGGAGGGGCATTGTTTGGGCATGAGAAGGCTCATAAGATTTGTGTCCATTGTTGTTCACCAGGTTGGACACCCAATTTGACCATCCCTCATGCCCTGATCCTGCTCAGCCCATTGAACTCGAACCTTTTGCGCCTTGCTCCGAGGCTTTCGAAGTGCCTCCCAATGTTTGGCCGGGCGGCCGAATGTTTGAGAAAGGAGGCAACTGAAGTGTTTCTGGATCTACTGAAGTTCTGTAGGGTGGCCACAGGCAACAACTCCTTTCTCGAGCGTTCCGCCAGTGACTAAATCATCATTGCAACTTGGTATAAGGAAGTTAGCCATCATTTGCAAGGAGGTGATGTCCTTCCATGGTTGTACTTTTGACGAAAAGACAACATCACTCGGCACTAGTTCAGGAGGCTCCAGTGAGATTGCATGGACCTCTCCCTCTGGTTAAAGCTTTGTCCCAAACGCTGTAAGTCTATGGCTGCGGGTGTATATAGATAATTATATATACTATATATTATTACTATACATGCATATATATATATATATATGCATATATCGATCTATATTATATATGTACTTTCATCAGGGAATGGTGGACTTCTTAGCATTTACACACTAGTTCCTATCTATAATTATATGTATATATATATACATAATTGTTTTTCTTAATGATTTCCGTTGTTCATGGCAATTGAGAACATCCTAAACTCCTTTACCCGAACCAACTGTGACAACTGAGGCTGACACATGACCGGTGGAATCCTGAACCTGTGATAGTCATCCCTATGGAGCGTTTCTGTGGTCTATATACTCAGAATCAAGTGGCCGTCAGTATCTATCAGTACCATCAGATGCCCAGAAAAAGATGTTATGATGTATCATCATGTATCAACCAACGCCCTCACTGCCAGGTTTTACGATATGGTGGCTTTTGGAGACTTAGCAGGCGGCAGGTGGTGAGTGAAGTCAGGTGTTGGAATACACTCCCTGAAACAATCATGGAAGTGGAACAGTTCGGCCCCTGGAAGACCAATTGTCCTCTACAAGGGGGGTCTGCTCAGCTTCCATGATTGTTTGAGGGAGGGTCTGTGTTATTCTGCCCACCAAATCCACTCGGGGTTGCGGCCAAAGGCCGAAGAGTTGCGGCCCTCAACGCCGCCCAAGACCCCTTTGAGGCGGCAGGGCAGGGCAGGAGTCGAGACACGGACGAGTCGAGTTGGTTTGGAGTGGCTTCCGCAAAATGGACACCGCGTGGCTGTCCCAGGCGACGCCCGTCGAACGGGTCCAAGAGGACTGGGACTCCTTCGCCCCAGCTCCTGCGTCGAAGACGTCAGATCCGGTGTGGCCAGGTCCAACCTCCGGCGGCGACCGTCCCGGTCTCATTGGGTTGAGTTGAGGTGGTCGGGACGTTGGTGGTACTTTCGGGATGTCTTGAGCAGATTGAGGGATCTGAATCTGAGGGGGGCTCTCTTAAGTGTCCCAGTAATGTTGGATCCTGATGAGTAAAGGGCCCCCCCCCTCCCTCAAACAAATAGGGGACCCTCGATAATAAACTACCACCAAAACAAATCTGGGTGAGAATTCCTGTGAGAATTCCTGTGAGAAAGCTGTCAGTTTTGAAGAAACCTAGAGAAAGCTATATCAGCTAATGAATCATAATCATTGGCCTCAGGAGCTAAGGAAAGGAAGATTCCATGAGCATTTTCCAGTGGAAAAACTTTTCACACTTGAGAACCCAAAAACAAGTCTATTATTGAGGATCAGGTGCCTTCCTGGTCTACTACCTTGAAAATTTGTTTAGGTGCAATGTTTTTATACAGGATTTAATTTGGAATTGGTGGTTTTGGTCAGCTGTCAGTTTTGAAGAAACCTAGAGAAAGCTATATCAGCTAATGAATCATAATCATTGGCCTCAGAAGGAATTAAAACCCTTTTTAATTAGGTTTCCAATTTAAAATTTAGGGTCCCTAAAACAAATTAGCATTATTCAGGACCCATTTTTCACCATGGGGGTCTAAATAGATTTGGAAAAATTAGCATTATAGAGGACCCCTTTACTAATCAGGATCCAACATTAAGTCGGCCGAATTTTTTGTGAGATGCGAGATGGGCCTTGACTTGGGGGGTGAGCTTGGACAAAGATGTTTGGGTTGGTTGATGCCCGCTTACTTGATAATGACCCCTATGATGGACTCGTGAACCCCCATCAATCTCTTGAGGCAACCCCATCAATCCACCTCTAAGTGGCATTGGTCTCTTCCCAGACCCTTCAAATACATCAACCAGATTTATCGATCCCTTTTGGTTGCGGGGACGGATCAAGGGCCAACCTTCAAGCATACCGGACACCAAGCGCTGAGGTCACCCCACAAGGTGTACCAGGCGCGCGGGCGGTAGCCGCCCGAGTCTTTGGTGGAGCTTTCTTGCCACACTACGAGGTCAAAGACTCTCGCACTCTCTCTTTCTCTCTATCTATATACCCAGATATGGACCCTGGACCCTCATATGGAGGGGTCGGACCCTCGAATCCCTAGACCTCAAGGGCTGTTTGGAGCATCTGGATACATAAGAAATGCAGTATCCAGTATCCGTATGCCCTTGCTAGCCCTATGTTGGACCCACCCTGTGGGCGAAACACCCCCCCAAAAAAAACGCCGTCCCGTCCCTGTTCTTTCCCAGGTGGAGCTTCCGATGCCTCGAGGCGGAGGCGGGAGCTGGGCCGACCAAACCCCTCTGGTTCGATCTGCTTTTTGCGTGTTCCTCTCATGTCCCTGACACGACGAGTCTGCGACTGCCATAGGACTGCCGAGAAACGGCCAGGGGTGGTGCCAGGGGGGTCTGTCTGGGGCGGCAGTCCTATGGCAGTCCCATGGAGTGTTTGGGTGTGGTTCCTGTGCTTCCTTAGGCCCTAGGCCTTCACGTGGGCCCTCCAAGCAGCGTCTCTCGTCGTTTCTCCGAAGATCTGCCATCTCTCGGGCCCTGTTGGTCGGCCAAACGCTCAAAACACCGCCAGACCAAACACCTCCCGCTCCAGCCGTTGAGGTCGGGACGACTGGGAGATCACTCCATCCGTGACTTGGAGCGCAGAGAGGGGAGGGACCACAGCACCATGCAGCCGGCGAAGTCAGACAGATTTTTGGGGTGCAACTTCAGGTTCCAGCTGGTGGGAGGCTTTTGGGGGGGTTCGAGGCCTCGACATGGGTGTTCACTACCAGGTACCCGTCACCGAATGACAAGCCCATAGGACCTGAAGTTGACTGGAATTTCTTGCTTTGCGTGGCAAAAGATGTCCCGCAAGAGATCCGACCAGTGATGCTGAGCCAGGCTCCAAATGAGTCCTGAGAGCTCGAATGGAGCATGGATTGGGCACAAACCATCACAAACCCACTCCTCATGGTTTCAGCCTATGAAGGAGTCCTGAACTAGTCCATCCCACGCTTCACTCCGCTTCACCGCGCTTCACTCCTTGACTCCTTGATACCTGGATCTTCCAACAGAGTTGCTGCCCTTGAGGTCAGATCCAGGTCGGTCCTCACGGGTCAACAGGGCCACATCTGTGGTCCATCCACCAGAATTCTCATAGCACCCCGACTCAGGTCGGCTCGGTGGTCCCTCGGGACTTGAGACTCGGGACCTCGGCCAGTGACAGCGGTGAAACCGCTTCGCGACCTCGCCGGTATCGACGGTTGCCATAAAAATGACCTCCAATAAAGAGTAAGCACGTGTTTGCCATGCATTTGATTGGGGGTGTCCTACTAAACGGAGACCTCGATGCGATCCGTCACATGGGTCCAGACCTCGTGGGCTCCGCTTCAAGGACAGTGCCGACCTCGCGGGCTCCGCGGTGTCCACCGCCGTGGCTAGCCCACCCAAGGCCGTTGGCCGTTGTTCGCCCCGTCTTCGTTCGATGAAGAGGGGCCACCAAGACGAAAAACCCGCCCACCACCATTGATTTATATAAGGAGCTTGGCCCAAGGACCATGGTTTTTACGAAGGATTTCACACCATACGACTCTTTTGGGGGAGATGTTTGGTTGACCAAAGGCCGGCCGCACACAAAAGCTGCGCAGCGGGCGGAGGGGGGGGGGGTATCGGATCTCCTTTCGGTGTGCGGGAGATGTTTGGTTTGTTGATGTCACGGGTGTCACCGCATTGTCTATCCTTCTTTCTGTGGTTTCTCCATCCTTTTTTCTGGATGGGACAATCACCAACTAGCAGCTAGCTTCAGGCCTGTGCCTTTCAAACCAGGCCCATGCGGCCGGGGTCAATTTTTTTCAGGACATGCGGCACACGCAGTGGGGCCATGTGCTGCAAGCATTATGCTCAGCCCAGTCGTAGCCTTTCTCGTCGTTCTTTTTACCTCGCTTAGTTTCGGCACCATGGCGAGTCTCCGACAGGCAGCTCGTCGGTCCATGAGAGCAAGATTTTTCAGATTTTTTTCACCACTTGCCAGTTGAGGTTTGTTAGATTTTATCAGTACTGTCCCGCTCTTCCGCCTCCTCATCCTCCGTCTCCAACTCCGCCTCCCGGTCAACCACAAGTGCTAGATCGCAGTGGGCGCCGCCGGACCTCAACCGCGAGTGCTGGATCGCAGTGGGCACCACAGGGCCCCGACAGATAGAGTGGAAGATAGAATGCCAGATAGAGGGCCAGAATTTATGTGAGATGGAATCCAAGAATTTATGCCAGATAGAATGCCAGAATGCGTGCCAGATAGAAGGTCAGAATTTAATAGAATCATGCCAGAAGAAGGTCAAAGTATAGGCCAGATACTAAAAATATGCAAGATAGAATGCCGATGCCAGAATGCTTGCCAGATAGAGTGTCAAGAGTTTATGCCAGACAGAATGCCAGAATGTATGCCAGATAGAATAGGATAGATAGATAGATAGATAGACAGATGGAAGGTAGATAGATAGACAGACAGACAGATAGTTAGAGCTTTTTGCAATAGTTAGATATAGACACTTTTTCTTTAAGAAATGCAAGAGTGCATGTCAGAGCACATAGCAAGACCGAAGTCGGACCATATGTCGCAGCACATGTCAGACTTCACGGCAAGAAGAATGTCAGAACACATGCCAGCAAGGACGCCAAAACAGTCCAGAACACTCCCCAACCTTTATGATAGATGATGTGTCAGGGCACAAACCAGACTTGATGCCAGAACCACGCTAGTCAAACACATGTGCCATGCCTTCTTCCAAGTCGCTTCTCAGGGTCCCCAAACACAACGCAACCTGGGGTGCCCCAAGAATACCATAAAAAATACCTGTAGCCGTCTTTTTGAGATGGAGAGGCCTGCAACAGGCCATCATCATCCACTGAACGGGGATGGGGTATACCCCACGTGCCGGGCGAAAGTCCAGCGCTCCGAGGGTCTGAAGTTGGAGCATTTGGGCCATCCGGGCGAAAGTTCAGCGCTGTCGCCGGACTTTGTCCACGAAATCTCCCAGCTTACAACGCCGAAGGGACGTGGAACCACATCCAAAAAGGAGTTACGAGTTTTGATAAAGAGATTAAAGAGGAAATTTCTGCACATCATGTCATTAATATTTCCTATTTGCGAAAAATGAGTCGGACTCGTGTGCTGTCCTGTGTTGGGACTCTTCCTTGTTGACTGGCTTCCAGACCCTGGCGGTCGGATATGCTAGGGAGTGCGAGACTTGGTGGATTCGAGCTTCGATGAAGTCTTCGGATTCTGGGGGGCTCTGGAGTTTCCGGGGTCGACTCATCGGATCCCTGATCGATGCACGTCTCACCAGGACATGCTCGAGAATCTCCGAAAGCATCGACAGGCTTTGCTTCAGCGGCACCACATGCAATGGCTCTTGCTCGCGAGCCAGCAACAAGCAGAAATCAAGGCGCTCAAGAAGAAGCATTCGGAATTCACCGATAGCGAGGAGCCGTTCTTTTTTGTGGGGTGTGCGTCCCAAATGTCAGGGTCTGGTACGAGTATTTGGTTTGATGGGGGTTGTTTGTCGCGTCAAATGCACTGCGGGTGAGGTCGGTGGGGTCCCTGGAGCCACGTCCGTGCTTGATGCGATGGTTCGAACGTGAGGACCAGCAGCGTCCTCCCATTCAGGCTTGGAGCGTACCACATTCGCCGGGCAGCCCGAGCATGACCAGATGAACCAGAGTGTGGCCAGGCTGGTTGGACGGTTCAGCATTTGAATGTTGCACACTTCAACTCTTCCGACGGCATGGTCAGACGAAGAAGGTGAGGCTTGCAGCGTACATTAGCATAGCATACAGTAGCTAGGCCAACCTCGAAGAGGTTGTTGGCACTATGCGATGTGACCTTGCAACAGCAGGGTTTGGTTCCGTGTAGCCGCCCGATTTCGGTGAAGCGTTGATGCAGTTGATGCACAGTTCGGTGGTGTCTTGGATGCTTGTTGGAGGGTTTGACCATCGCCCTTTGGATGGACACGACTGGAACACGATGTTATGTCCAACTGTGCTGACTGTTAGCATTTTGGTCCAGAAATGTGTTGCAGGGTGAGTGCCACGTATGCACGGGTTTAGGTCGGTCCTGCCACTCATCTTCGTCGAAAAAGGGTTCGCTGCACATCGTTCGAAAAAGTGGCTCGGCATACGCCACTGCGATTCGGGGCTCGGTTTAGAGGAGGGCAAAGATGGAGATGGTCATAGCTTTGGAATCTTCCCAATGGGGTGTTGTTTCGGTAGATGCCACCAGGCACAGCTGTTTCCAAACACTGATATACCTTGTTTCACATTATATTTGTATTTTGGTATCACTGATCAAGTCCACATCCTCCACCGAGTTTTGCGTCGCACACCTTTTTGAGCCACGAAGCCGCCCGAAAAACCCGCTGTGCGGATGCCTTTCGGAAAAGCTCCACAACCGGGACTGCAAAGACCGCGACCAGTGCGCCACAGGATAAAGGCTGCGCTGCGCGTGTTGCGCGTGCGGCGCGTGCGGCGGTGGCACCCGTGACGGGTCGAGTGGGAGAGGCGCCGAGTGGAGTAGGTGCTTTCTGGAAGGTTTTGGATGTTTTGGTTGCAGTGCCAGAGATAATCCCGCACAACCCCAAGTGATTGACCAGGCCAGGAATAGATTCATCCTGTCAATCTGGGTGCCAGGCCGCTTTTGGCGCGGGACCTGTGCGGGAACCTGACTTCAGCTTGGCAGACTCAGATACGATGTCACGAGACTCGAGGAAGGCGATGGCAAGATTACCTAGAGACCTAGAGGCTCCAATATCCTCCCAGAAGTCCTCCCAGGTTTCCCCCTTTGGAGGTGGATGAAAGACTGATAGGCTTCGTCAAGTTGCATTTGTCTCGTTGGAATTTGGGACTTTCCCATCAAAACACCATGGATTGCCCGCGTTGCCTTTCCATCGCGAATCTTGGGTCCACGGGGGCCTGCTTGCTTCAATCGACTCCGGCATTGTGCCTTTTTCGGGGAATTCCATGTTTGCCGGGCCAGTTTCTCCTCCTCCTCCTCCAGCCACTGAGAGTGGCAACCCCCAAGAGGGCGGTGCTTTCCCTCGAGGTGAACCTGCCTCCCGAAGAGGAGGATCAGGTGGGGCGCGCTGCGAAGATTTCGTTCCACGTGCTCAATAAAACGGATTGCTACCTGCACAACCTCATTTGATAGAACCTGGTGAACTTGAGGATGACCTGCATATGCATGAGCATATCATACAACGGGTTCCTATCCAAATTCATGAGCCGTCTGAAAAGCATGCAGCTCAAGGTGTCGTTGCTCCTTGCTTGGTTCGTTGGCAACATTACGGTTTAATTGCAAACCAAGTAGCAGTGTTACACAACTCTGGCTCCACAAAAAAGAAACTAGCCACTTAACGTGTGTAAAAAGCATCAGAGACGACGTTCTCCAAGAGTTGAGTCAGCATATAGTCAGCTTCTTAGGTGTCGACATGTTGCACGTAGGATTCTAAGGGGAGAGGGGTCTAGTCCCGTTTACCCAGTGTAGAAGCGCAACTGTCAGTTTGTCCACCCGTGTAGTCAGCATAGATATGTGGAGTTTTGCAGGGCGTTGCAGTGCGTTTCAGCGCATTGTAACATGGATGCTCAGAATCTGTGCGTCGAGCCGTGGGCTCCTCTCTCACACCCTGCAGGAGCGGGACGGCCGATGGGGGCGCTGTAGCGTGTCGTTTCACAGCCCGGACGCCAGGGACGTCCAACGCCGCCCACTCGTCGGTGTGCGAAAGAGATCGAAGGATGAGAATCGGGGGCTGCCCCTTCACCCTGATCCTAAGAGATCCCAAAGCTAAAGGGCCCAAAGGGCCCAAAGGGCCCAAGGACATCGCTTCATGATTTTCCAGGTCTAGTCTAGCAGTCTAGCAGTCCATGTGAACGTCTCCAGGCAGGTCAGCATGGCTGGAAAGACAGGTGCAGGTCAGCGGGCACAGGTACCGAACCAACTCAACCTTCCAGTCAACTCTCCCAGGGGGTCGTCGTTGTCTTCTTTGGGGATTGGACCCAGGGAGAAACGGATCTTTTTTTCCACACCCTGGCTACACTGAGGCTTGAATTCCTGCCCAAATGTGGACACTCAGCAAGCAAAGGGGAGACAGGTTTTGACTGAGCTCTGTGTCAGAAGAAGACTTGAAGTTTCACCATGCTTTGTGGATTTTTTTTGGATCTACGCGACGCCCGCAGCGCTGCGCTTGAAGATTGCCGTAGAGAAGCGACTTCAAGTTCTTGGCTGTCTGGAAGGGGAAGCGGCACCAATGGGCATGACCGAGGCGGACAGAGCTCGCGCCCAAACCAATGAGTCCTACTTCGCCGAGGAGGGGGTCCTGGGAGCGTTTCGAGATGTTTCGAGTGTTTCGGTGTTCCATGGAGAAAGAGATGGGGTGGTAACAGAAACTAGCCGGTTTAACTAGCCATACTAAAAGGGTGCTCAAGAAACCTGGTTATTACTTCCTTCCGCTGAGTGTTTTCCTATTCATGACAGAGCTGTTCTTGATGCGTTCGACAGACCTCTGCGAATCGATCTGCCTGACCATGCGCATGGTCTCAGTTCTGGTGTCGATCAAAGGTGGATGCATCCAGGTTTTTTTCATGAACTGGGAGACCTTTGCAATCCCCAATTTCATGACCCATCACTTGCCCCTCACAGTCCAAGAACTATCTCAGATGGGCATCCCAGGTGCTTATTGGAGCCTTCTGTGGCCTACAAACATGGAAGTGGAAGATGGTCCGACTCCTTTCCTTGACGAACAGTGGGTGCCATCCACTTCCATGCTAGTGAGTGGGAGTGCACATTTTCTCCGAAATCCAATGCAGCTGAAGTCCCCTGCGCATGCTTGGGCGACAGCGAGTGCCCTTTTCTGCACAGGTGGTGCAGCCGGGAGAGCTTCGCATTGAGGCTTGGCAGAACTCCACCATCAAACCGATGCATCCAGCCCCCTCAACCACCGATCGGATGGGCGGACGTGGTGAGTAGGATGTTTTTTTGGCATCCGAAATACCCTGAACGATGTCAAGCTTGAAGTCAGCTGGTCGTGTTGGTCCAGCCGGCTGGCCGTTTTTGCCTCCGAGTTGTTGGTCCATAACGTTGGAAACCCCAAGTCAGGTAGAGCCTATTGCTCTATACATGAATTAAAAGTACGCCCCAGACTAGAAACAAATACGATTCAAAAATACGCCTTTGTAGAAAATACGCTTGCCCTTGTAGAAAAATACGATTGAAAAATACAAAGGGCAAAAAAATATGATTGGTAGAATCACAACCTCCTTTGAAAAATACAAGTGTATTTAAAATACGACTACCAAAATGAACACCTAGTAAGAAAAATACAATTGTAAAAAAAATACGATGGGAAAAATCACAACCACAGTTGAAAAATACAAGTGTATTTTAAATACGACTGCCAAAATGAACACCTAGTGAGAAAAATGCACTTGTAAAAAAAATACGCTTCGGAACACAAAACAACAAAGCAGTGTATTTTTGGAAAGGCTTTCTTGGAAACAATCGTGTGCTTAGTGGCAAAGCACAGCTGGAAGTTACACTGGCTGCTCATGAATACGGGATCCAAAGCTGTGGAGTTTAGTGACTTTAGTGTTTGGAGTTTAGCTGTTTAGCTGCTTAGGCTTAGCTGCTGGGTTTGGACTCATAAGGCCTTCTCAGACTTCAGGTTCGACAGCTGCATCAGCTGAGATAAACCTTGTGCTTTGAGCCATTGCATAGCTGGCGTAGCTTAGTTGCTGTGCTGTCACAGTTTGAGACGCCTGTGTTAGATGGAGGTAGGCGTCCACTGCCAGCAGCTAGCAGCTAGCAACTAGCATCTAGTTAAGATTTTTCTGGGCAGCTGACTAGGCTAACTGGGCAAGCGGCTAGCGGCTAGCTGCTAGGTGGTGGCGTGCGAAGCTGATAGCTGTTGCCTGGGCTGGCTTCTGCCTTCTAGACAGCGACGCCCAAATGTTTTTTTGACAGCTGTGCTTCTTTAATGGAAACACTGAGCGCGTAGCAGCAAAGAACGCAGGCTAAACCTAAACCTAAACCTATAAACTAAACACCAAAACGCGCCTGAAGCAGAGCAGCAGAACGCGCGCTGTGCTTGGGCTGTCACTGTCGCTGCGTGTGCCAAATGTTCTGTCTTCTCTTTCGCCAGGCAGCTCACACGCAAGACTCACAACCAACAAGTTGTTTGAATCGCGTGCTCACAGTGAGGGGTGGTTCCCGACAGCAGCAGCATTGATTGGCAACAGCGACGACAGCAATCGCATTTTCGGTTCCAATCGTATTTCCTGACAGTTTGAATCGTATTTTCGGAAGCAAACGTATTTTTCATCGACCCAGTCAGGTTCCAATCGTATTTTCGGTGGCAAACGTATTTTTTCGTCGACCCAGCCAGGTTCCAATCGTATTTTCGTATTTCTGGACAGCGTATTTTTTTTACGACTTTCTCGCCAAATCGTATTTTAAAAACGATTTTTGGAGAGAATCGTAAAAAAAATACGATCGTGGGGACAACACGTGGGACCATCGTAAAAAAAATACGCTGGTGGTGATCACACGCGGGCTCAGCGTATTTTTTGGACACCAGATGGCCAGGAAGATCGTATTTTCGTACTTTTGTCCATTCGCTCAGGAGGGAAAAACGTACTTTCGCACTTCCAGCCCGGACACTTTTTCTCTTGGGTTGGCCAGGGCAGGGCCCGAATGTGTTCATCCACGCCCCCGCCCAGGAGCTCAGATGGGCGCCGATTCGGGGTCCGCATTTCTTGCATCATGGCCCCACCTCTGGCCAGCTGTAGCCTCGCCGCCCAGCCTTAGCCGCCTTGACCGCGCTTAGCTTGGCCGTAGCCGCCGTAGCCGGTACCCGGTAGCCGCTAGCCGTAGCCGTCGCCGTAGCTAGCCGCTAGCCGCTGCCAAGCGGTAGCCCGCTGCCGCTAGCCGCTAGCCGCTAGCCGCTAACCGTAACCGCCTTAGCCAGATCCGATTCTGTTTGCTTGTCTGGAGCACAGCAAACCCAGCCCCAGCCTACCTTTTGGCCATAGAGCCATGGTAAGCTAGGCTTCAGGCTTAGAGTCTTAGAGTGGCTTGAGTCTCTAGCCACTCACTAGGCACTAGGCTCCCAGTCGCTAGTGACTAGCCGCTAGCCTCAACCCTAGTCATCCTGGCCCTAGTCATAGGTCATAAGCGCAATCGACATTAGTTTGTAGCCAGGCCCACTAAAGTAGTCACATGTCACTAGGACACTGACTAGGGCCTGGGGCAGAGGCCAAGGACTTGCGCAGAAAAACATGTTGTTGCTGCTGCTGCTCCGAGACAGTGTGAGTGGTTGGTGCTTCTATTCCTCTTTGACCACAGGAAATCACCAGTTTTTCTTCAGTTGCAAGTTGTAAAGTTTAAAGGGTCCAGTAGCTCCCATATTTATGGATTTTTGTTCTTTTAAAGATTGTGCTTGAAAACTTTGCCGTTCTTTCCATTATTTGCTTTTGTTGGGCAACTTAGCACAACAATGCAGTTGCACTTTCCCAGCAACAACAGTTTTCCAGCCCAAGACATTTTGAAGGAATGTTTCTTTTTGGCGTTTACAGTGAAACTGCTGAACATTTTCGCGCTGCTAGCTTGTCAAAGCCAGGTGTGTTGTGGCCATTGCCCCTTCTGGAACGTAGAGGTGATCATCCAAAGGTGTATTTTGGCTAATTTCCCAGATATGATCTGGGTGCAAAATTAATTCAACATAGAGCCATAGAGTGTACCTGCTTCCGGGGATTTCAACCATAACGGTCATGGTTTGACCCAATCAAGTCTAGTGCTGTTGGGGATTTTAGGCTAGCCGAGTTGAATGGGGATTTCTATAGAATTACCCTCCCACTCACCTGTTTTTGGGTAAAAGCATCCAGCCGAGCCAATTCTCGCCATCCATCATGTAGTGAACCAGAGTGTAATGCACCAATGTTCAAGGCGACACCGGACACCTGTTTTTGATGCAAGGGCCGTAGACTTCACCCAGATTTCACCCAACCTCTGGCCTGTCTGGCCCTGGCTCCGGGGTTATCACGGGCCTTTCACGTCCGTTCGGAACCCGTTTTGGAGCAAGACAGACTGAAAGGCTGTTCATGTTCGGTTCAGTTTGTTTGGTCGCCTGGTCGCACCGTGTAATGGGTCAGGTGGATGTGCCTGTGCCACGTAGGCCAGTGGGGATGAGGTTGGACGTGGTTGGAACTGTTTTTTCGTAGCGGGTGGAGCATCGTGGAGTGGAGAATTTGAAGCTGTCAGAATGAGTACTATGACTATGAGGCGTTTGCAGGGGAGAATCCAGCGATCTTTCAGGGCAGACCAACTTGACGAAATCAACTACCTGGGCAGGCGACACGGACCCACCTGCGGTCGGAGTCATCAAGATATGCCATGCCTCCGAAGCAGGGGGCGGGGTTTTTCACATGGTTGAGTCGCCAGTGACTTGTTCTCTTTCCTTTCTTTTGCGGGTCATTTCTCATGTCATGTAGACTCTTGAGGACCATAAACCCCCCCCATGTAGACTCTTGAACATCCTCTTCATATGGAGGGTTGATGGTCCTCAAGAGTCTACATTAAGTGAACAGACCGTGAACATGGGAGTTTTGAGCGGCCCCTTATGCTCCGGCTGGCAGGCGGAGCATTGCCACCACCACAGGCCGAAAACGACGAACGACGCGGCAGGGTCCAGGTGGGTTTCTGTGACCAGTCACCACGGTGAGCCCCGCATGAGCATTCGGCACGCCATTCTCCCAGCCTTTGTTCGAGGTGTTCTCAAGCCTCCAACATGGCACCAAGCCTTCACCCAGCGTCGGCCCAGTCTTCACGGACTCCGGACGTCTTGCCCCGCCAGGCAGCGGCGGACGCTTCTCCAAACGCTCCAGTGTAGCTGCGGACCTAGGAACCGGTTTTCGAGATCGTTTCCCCTAGACTCTAGACTTCCAAGGCCATTAAAACATGGCTGACCTGGTTGTTACATAGTGTAAAATCCTTAGTTGATTCGGTAAAGCCTATTAAGTTAAGTAGTTGTTGGAAGCCGGTTTCCATGCATCATCCGCCGCGATCCGACCCGACCGTCCGGACTTGGAGGTCGGAGTCGAGCCGTTTTCAGGCGACCCATTGGATGAACTAGATCGATTTGCCAGCTTGTCTCAACTGGCCTGGTCAAAAACATCAACCACATTTGGATTTTGATATCCTCTCAACTCAAAGGAGTGAACGGCACTCCGTTTCCGACTCGGCCGACGCAGAGCAACAAAATCGTTTGACACTTGCTCCTCGGAGCTGCGTCAAGCTGCCCCCCCACATTCCAAAGTTTGAGGTAGCAAAGGTTCACCCACGTTCCTGGCCGTTGGCAGTTATGTCGGCTCAATCCTAAGCCACTTATATCTTAGGGGGTGGTTGGGTGTGGGATCTCGATCCGGCTCCTTCTTCGGATCCAGTCCCACACCCACCACCGGCGCTGCGGCAGACTCGGCTGCCTGAAGAGGGAGGCGGCGGACGAGCGGACGACCGGTTGGGAAGAAGGGAGCCGACCAGCGGACAGCAACAGCACCCGGTTTGTATCGGTCGGTGTCCCAACCGGAACAGGCTGGTGTGTGACTTGGTACCAGGGTTTCGTGGGTGGGCCTGCCAGGACCTTCAAAGTGACCTTTTGAGATCCCAGTCCCAGTGGCTGAGGTCACTTAAGCTTGTAAAAAGGTCACTTGGAGACTCCAAAGAGGTCACGTACTGACTGAAGGTCCTGGTGGGTGCTTTTTGTTGTTCTTTCTTCGGGATGGTTCCAGGAGGAGTACTCAGATCAGTGTACCGGATGCACATGGAAGCTCCCAGGAGAGCCCAAAGTGGAGAGCGCCGTCCGACAGTCCTCCTGGTCCCTGTCAGACTGCATCTATTGAACACATGCCCTTGAAAAGCAAGGACATGGTTGAGTTTTTGGGGGGTCGATCTGTACAGTCCCAAGAGTTGAATGGGTCGATGTTGAGTCTTTGCGGTGTTCTTACGCCCAATTTCGGCACACAGGACGGGGGCCCAGAGTTTTGCAGCGCGCAGAAAAGCGCTTTTCCGCGTGCCGCCACCGTGCCTCGGGCCACGTTGACGAGCTTAGCTCGTGGAGGTGTCTCCACGAGCTCTTTCTCAGCCTGACTGATTGGGCTCCGCTGCGCATGGCTCCGTGGCAAGCTGCTTGGGCGGTTGGATCGGGTGGCTCCGGTCGGGTGCCCGGTCCATGCGAGGTCAAAAGCTAGTGACCTAGTGCAGTTCTCGCAGTGATCGCCATCATTCGATGGCATTTGAGCAATTGGTTGGTCACAGTTGGTCCAGTGGAAATTCATAGAGGGAATACCATATCCAAAGGGTGTGTGACCAACTGGCACATGGTACCCGGAACCCCCCCTCTATTCTTCCCAGATGGGCATCATTTGTCAGCCACTGTATGATGAACATTCATTTATGAGCCAGGATTTCTAGGTCTAGGGTTGTGTACCATGTTTCTGTGGGTGTACACTCTGACTCACTAACATGGAAGTGGAAAATGGCCTCTTGGAAGACTACTTTCCTCTACAAACAGTGGGTTCTCCACTTCCATGTTAGTGAGTCGGAGTGTAGTTGCTCATTTGGGGACCAGTTTTGGCAGTTCCTGTCTCAATCCCAAGGACCACTGGCACATAAGACACCATGGCAAGCTGTAGTTTGTGTGAGTGCAGCCTCACACCTGTGTGGTGCAGGTTTTGCTTTCCGTTGGCAGCTCGTAGATGCAACGCCTCAGTTTTCAATTAAAACTAGGAAACACAATTTGGGGCCATGGTTCACTTGGAGGCTCAACTGCAGAACTGTATATACATATTTATACTCGGGTGAGATGACAAAGAACTTGTGAAAATTCATGCGGCTAAGTCACGAGGATATGCCCTGTGTCCAAAAAGTTGCATGTCATGAAGCAAACGCTTGACAAGAAAAAAAAGATTCCAGAGGTTGTCACCAACGATCTTCAAGACAGTTGATTTTACATTGACAAGCGTCATGACCTAAGACGTTGGTATCTGAACAATGGATAGACACTGGAGACATGAATTTGAGAGCGAAAACGCATAGAGGTAAACTTCATAGAGGTAAACATCATAGTGACGTTGCTATGACATGTTCTCTTTCATTAGCTCCAATCTTCCAGGACTCCAGGACGAGGACCCCCCCAAAAGAATAGGATCATTTTGACCGAGTCGGAATGGCCTATTTCACGAACTGAACGTGTAGGTGTCCAATCCTTGGGAAAGTTGTATCGCATTTCAACGCATCAAAGGCCTAAGTCTTTAAGTCATGTGACCTCAGTATGTATATATTATTTGATTAAAGTATATTTTGTTACTAGTAGTAAGGCACTTGTTCCTAGTAGCGAACCTTGTTACTACTAGTAAGGCACCTGTTACTACTAGCGATGCACTTGTTCCTAGTAGAGTAAGACTCGGGGAATCCAAAAACAGTTTGGGTCGACTTGCAGAGTTGCCCAAGGAGACTGCGGGCTTCCTGTGTTGGGTCGTGAAGGATTTCAGCTGGGCCTGGGCACCTGTCGACGGGAGTTGTCGCGCGGGATGCGCTTTTCCATATTTTTCGTGCGCTGAGTTGGCGGATGAGGTTGGTGGATGCTGTTGGTTGGTTCGCCTTGAGTGATGAACGAACGATCTACTATTATTGACAACTCTTGACTGTCCGAAGAGGCGTACTCTTAGATCCTTAGTCCTTTTGGCTTAGATGGGATCTCTCACTAAACCACTATATGCATGCAGGTTAAACCTGGTAAAACCCTTCGCAAGGGACCCATGGCCAAGATCCATTGATCAAGTGCTGGATAGTGTGAATTGGACACAGTCAGAACAGGTCCGACATTTGGAGACCAAATTGCACCGATTCCTCATACGATCAGGATGCTACGTTTGGGGCTCCTGGCATCGAAAAAACGAACGGAGCGATCGGACGCTACGAACGGGGCTCCTGGCATGGCGCCATGGATGGCGTCCCTTCGGACCGGTCGAGGGACCTTCTCCACCTTCCCGCGGCCGTGACGTTTCCGCCGCTATCGAAACGACGGAGAAATCCGGTGATCCATCGCAGGTCCTTCTGATCCCCGAGATGGCATGGTTTGCCTTGTTCGGTGCTCTGATCTTCGAGTGCTGGGACTTGGCGAATGCGTGGCAGGCGCGGCGAAAACGACGAGACCGGAAGGACCAGTTCACCGGTGCTGGGATGTCTGGTGAGCGCCCCAAGCACTGGAAACACAGGGAGAAGCTTGGGGACTGATCCCGTGGTTGTGGTACTTCGCTCTTTTTTTGGGGGGGGGCTTTTTGGACATGTCTTGAACTAGCCTTTGAAGCTGGGTATATCAATCTATTTAAACTTGGACATCTATTTGGGCTTGTTTGGGTTCTGTGGCATGTTCGGTTTCACGAGGATGTTCCAGGTACTCTTGTTATATACATCCGTTTCGGAGCGATTCCCGGGCGCACTTCACCACAGCCGACAACCGTGAGGTGTGGTTAAGATAGAACAATTGAAAGATGATCTGCCAGGTGGTTGACGAGGGTGTTTGGGAGTCAGAGTTGGCTCTGTGGACACGGGAGCGGCCTGAACACCGATTCCGTTCGATGCGCGGCTCCGAACGTGTTTTTTTCCTCCAGGCATCCGATGCTTATGAACGTGGTAGTCGATTCGTGCCTCTCGGCTAAGACTTAGCATAAGAAACATTAAGAAACAGCCATTGCTATTAGGTTGGAGGCCATCGCTCTTAGGTTGGAGGCCATCGCCATTAGGGTGGAGGCCATTGTTATTGCTATTAGAGTGGGAGCCATTAAGGCCATAAGAAATGGCCGGGGGTGTGGATGTCTCAAGAGGGCCTTCTTGGCACCTAAAGCCGTGGGAAGCCCATCTAACCTCCCATCGTGTCGTCAGTGGTGATAGGTCCCAGGCTACACTTGTCTCAGCTGATGTTTGTGCGACTTGGACCCTGGTCTGAGAGCCCTGGTCCATTCAATGAGTGGGAGGGAAGAAGACCTAGCACGAGAGGAGCTATATATATATATATATATGAGAGTGAGGCGGGCAGACAGACGGACAGACAGCCAGGCAGGCAGACAGACAGACAAAGCAAATGTCTTGAAAACTGGACGCACGATGACTTGCCCTCCCGAAAAACCAACATGGACTCTGACAATGGACCTTGGAAGGCTCGTAGCCTCTCCGAGCTTTGTAAAGCGGGCCGGTGTGGCTGTCAGTGAAGCTGATGAAACTGCTGTCTCATCGCAGGTCCAGTAGGGAGCTGGTGGAGCGCTTGCCCATGCAGCGAGATGTTTCTTTTACGAAGGGGATATCAGTATCATGAATACCACTGGGCCGAGGGGAACATATCTGAATCGTGAAAACCCTTGTAGCCACTGCTATTACTGACCCTAAGATACCAAGGTCATAGATGAATGTGGATGCTGGATGCACTCCTCACCTTTTGCACGCCATATCACATGTATCAGCGACGCACTTCGTGAAACCCCCAGGATTTTGCTCTGGATCCTGGGCAACGGCACGTGGATGACCAGCGAATTCCTGTGCGCCCCAGAGGGCCGATGGCAGTCAGCGCGGAAAAGGGGCCGACCTTAGATCGAAGTCTTTACCCTCCTGGGCCCAAACAATCAATTGCTGCATAGTGAAACACTGAACAAATCGCAGAAACAGTATCTTCACACCTAGCTGAAGAGGGTGAAGTGTGGCACTTCATCTGTTGGAGGGTGTAGGTGTGCATCTTTCTGGCCAGGTACGAGACGCATTCCCGGAATATCAGCTTCCCCTGGCACCTCGCGCGCAAACTTGGGGGTAATTAGAGAATTTGCGAGCATTCGAGCTGA